ATCCTGCATACTGAAGTTGCACCCCCTAGATCCTGTCTCCTAAACAATAATAATAATTATAATAATAATAGTAATCATAATGGTTACAATCCAATCAAATTAATTTGCTATAAATATAGAGAGCCTGGTTATATCTCTCATTATTGCATGTCTGAAAGGACTCTGAATTCAACCCAAAATGGCCAGAATAGGTGAGTCCAAACCAACCAACCCAATCCAAACAACCGAAACAATCAACCTACCCTTATCTTACCTAGACCCAACAATGTAAATTTTTGTGAAATTGAATTGGATAAAGATTATGAACCTAAAGTTGAGGAAGCTTTTGTAACACCTGTGGCCTGCCACGAACCATACCCCACTAGAAGACTAGTAGGTTGCCACTCCAAAAGGTTGGTGGATAAAATAAAAGAGCAATATAGATCTATCCTGCCCAGGCCAAAAGTCCCAGTTGAACCATCTATAAACAATACCTCTATTGTGCTGCCCTCAGTGTACACAGTTTTATAAAAGAGAAAATCGAAAACTTAAAGAAAAGTGATTAATAAAAAGAAGCACAAGCCCGTGGGCATCCTCTGTGGTCATTGTACTGAAAAATAGAGGAAAAGTGCACTTATGCATTGACTATTGGAAGCTCAATATGGTTATGAAAAAGGTTGCATTCCCCCTGCCTCATGTTGATGACCTATTGGAAGTTTTTGGGTCTGCAATTTGGTTTTCAACACTAGACCTAATGTCCGGCTATAGGCAGCTTCCTGTAAGTGAAGAAGATAGGAAAAAAACCATGTTCATGACAAATTTTGGCACCTTTAAGTTTGTAATAATGCTGTTTGGGCTTACAAATGCCCCTGCTATATTTTAGCAAATGATGAACCAAGTGCTGGCAAAGTTTTTGGACCAATTTGTTGTCATATATCTTGACAACATCATCATTTATTCAATGTCATTTGAGGAGCATACTAACCACCTTAATACTGTTTTTAATAAGCTACAAAATGTAGGTTTAAAATTAAACTCAGATAAGTGCTTCTTTTTTAGATCCTATTTGAAATTTTTGGGTCATATCGTTAATCGAGAGAGCATTTATCCTAATGAAGATAAAGTTGAAAAAGTCCAGAATTTCTCTGTACCACAGTTCCTTCATAAGTTGTGAGGTTTCCTGGGATTGGCATTGTACTATCAGAAATTTATACCTAAGTTTATCACAATTGCTTGTCCTCTCTACTTCTTATTGTGCAAGAATGTCAAGTATGAATAGAAAAAGAACCAGGATGATGCTTTAACCAACTGAAGCTATACTTAATTAATGCTCCGATCTTGCATCATTTCAATTTTGAAAAGATGTTCATAATTCATGTTGATGCTTTTGGTTTTGGATTAGATACTGTGTTAGCACAAAAAGATGATAAAGGGAATGAGTATATTGTTATATATGCCAGTCAAGGAATGACCAAAGCTGAAAAAAACTATACTACCATCGAACATAAGTGTCTTGCCATTCTTTGGGCAATCGAACATTTTTATCACTATGTCAGGTTGGACCTCTTCATAGTAGTAACTAAACATACTGCTCTGAAGTAGCTTTAAACTGCCAATTAACTGGTCATTATGCCTGTTGAGTGTTGCATTTGCAGCTGAATAATTTTCGACTCATCTACTATCATAGTCATATTCACCACAATGCTGATGCTTTGTTAAGGTTACTTATAATGCCAAATGAACTTCTAAACTAAAAAAAAAAAAATTAAGAGGAAGTTAGTAAAAATAAAAAAAAAAAAGAGAGAGAAAAGAAACAAAACAGATAAAATCCAGTTTTACTAGCAATTCAGACCAGGTTACTGGTGTCCTGGCATCTAACAGCAAAAAAAAATAAATAAATCATAAAAAAATACATATATATATATTGCAACAGATAAAATGGCGAGTCTGTCACTACAACTAACCAGATGTTGTGTAATGTTACGAAAACAGTAGGATAAGGCTTTGAGGCATGGGCTTCAATTTGGGCGAGTATAAAGTTTTTATTTAATACCTTTCTTTTTATTGTTTAATGTATTAGCTAACTATCCTTTAAACTATTAACTTTTATTATTAGGATGGCTTCGATCTTTCTTCTATTACTTGGGAATGCCAAAAGATAAGTACTTTATTAAATTTTAGTTTTGCTTTTATACACTTTTTGCTTATACTAACTAATGCTATTTGTTTTAGGTTTCTCTTCTACCTTTCTACCATTCTGCCATACTACAATATTACCAATGCAGGTTCCACCTAATCTGGGTAAGTACTATACTATATGTATTTGTGTTTCTTTATTTTGTTTGTAATATGCTTTACTAACCCGTCCTTCTATTATTTTGTATTTTACTACTTGAAAACATCACTACCACGATGTAATGCTCTTCTCGATTTGGGCACAACTGCTTTGTCTTGTGTTTCTTGGCATGGAGGCTGATTATGTGTGTTTCGCTATCTTGGAGAGTCGATAATGCATGTACGATCTGTGGGTCCTGATCATCGTTCATGCTATGTATTGTTATGCATGAATCATTACATTTTTCTGGCCCATGACAATATATATATATATATATATATACCTATAATAACAGACATATAGAATAATAAACAATCAAAAAAAAAAAAAAAAACATATAAATTAAACTTCTTCTTTAAGCAGTGATAGATGTTATCTACTACCAACACTTGAAAAGATATCTAGAAGATGAATACTTAACAACTACTCTCAGTCAAGCTTAGTGACAAAGACTTTGAAAAAAGAGTGAATTTTTCAAATTGAAAGAAGGACTCCTGTACAAAAAGGATCAAAAGAAAAAAAAAACCTATTAAGAGTGCTGCAGAAGCATGAGATTAATCCAATTTTGTTTTGGGTGCATACTCACTCTTTGGAAGAACATCAATACTTATTTTTGGCTCCAGATATATCTGGACATACAGAAGTATGTTCAAACATGTAACTTATGTCAAAGATGAATGAAACCATGTAATCAGGTCCCTCTATCCCATACCTGTCGCTGCACTATTCTACTAGATAGGTATTGATTTTGTGGGCCCCCTGCCATAAATATCATGATTGAATCACTACATCATTGTAGCTATAGATTTTATGACCCATTGGCCTAAAGCCCACCCTATACAAAAAGCTGATGTCCAAACAGTGGCTAATTTCCTGTATAATGACATAGTGTGTCACTATGAATGCCCTACACAAATTTTATCTGACTGTGATACCTACTTCCAAAATGAGATGATAAGGTCCCTCTTGGAAATGATCTATGTAAAACAATACTTCTTTACCCTGTACCATTCTAGTATCAATGGTCTTGTTAAATGGTTTAATAAGACTCTATATGAAGCTCTAGGAAAGTTAGTCGATAACATTCTTGACTGGGATCTACTTATTTCACCTGAACTATTTACTTATCAAACAGCTCAGAACCCCATAACAAAAATAATGCCATTCTTTCTTGTTTATGGCTATGAAGTCAAGCAACCAATTTATCCTAGCCATGCTAAGGACCTATCGGAATGAACTATCTTGTATAGAATCTTCAAATTGATAAATCAAGTTCCTCTTTTCAGGAATAAGGCTATTGAAAGGACCTAGCCAAGCAGAAGACTTATATAATAATCAGTGTCGAATCAGCTCTGGATTTGAAATTGGAGACAAAGTCTTGTTGGAAGCACTACCAAAAAGTATTTCCACAGTGAAAAGCTGACTCCAAAATGTAAAGGCCCATATTACGTTCATGATAAGCTGCTAAATAACACCTATAAATTAAGGACCCTAGATGGGAAAGTCATCATTACCCCCTTCAATATATGCCTAATGAAGAAATATCATGAACAGGAGAAATAACTATTTATTAATTTAAAAAAAAAAAATAAAAATTTTTTTAAATACTTATCCTTTTTTTTCGTTTCTTTTATTTTCTTTTCATTTTTTTTTTCATTTTTTTTGGTTGTAAACGACAACTATATGCATGAGTTGGGGCATATGACAAGAGTTCAGTTGACTCTTCGTCTTGGACATGGACATAATTTTTTTTTGCTATTAATTGTTTTTTTTATAGTCATGTAACTTGTGATTGTTTTTAGTATAGTATTAAAATAGTGTTAGAATAAAAAAAAAACTTGAATTGAACCCTGAATTGAATCTTGAAGAAGACCTACAAAGTGCCACCCTGGAAGAATGCTCTCTGAACCTGGATTCATGTTGACTTCTTTTTCACAGAACGTGAAAAATTGGATCTGGAAGAATTGTTATAGGTAGATTCGACTCTAGAACTTTGAGGAAATGCTGCATAACGACTCATGATCTGCAACACAATATCCACGACCCAAGACAAATCAAGCTCTTCATTAAGTGACAGCACTGATCCATTGAAGAAAAAGCCACCTGCCCAATTTGGAATCAAACTGTTAAGGTAATATTACCTTAACAGGAAAAGTCTATGGCTATATTAATGCATCATTATATGTTGGATTGTATGCCGTTGTGAGATGATGCTAAAGTAACGACAGATGAATTGTAGGAAAAAGAGAAGAGTGTTAGTAAAAAAGAAAAAAACAGTTTATGACAATGAGAAAAAGAATGTCAAATCCATGTTCCAAGTTCTCCCTTTTTCTCTTAAAAAAATGTTCTATAAAGAGTGCCTCCCCACCTTATAGTAAGATATATATGAGATATAGTAACTTTTCACTCTCTTAAACCCAAATTGCCTTTTAACTTGTAACCCACCCTAGAAAATAAATAAAGTTTTTAATTAATAAAGTGCTAATTGTCAAAATAAAGTAAATAAATAAATAAACTATTATGCTCCTTTAACTCCTCTAGTAACATTCTCAAGGCCACCCTAGACTAGTGCCAAATCAAATCTGTCTTATCTGCCTTGAGGGACGTTATGCGATGTCAATGAATTCAAAGCAACAATTCATTGCATTCCTTCTTGTCTCTATCATGCCATTACTGACTCTGAGGCCTATATCAATATCAATATCTTTTTTTCATTAATTTTAGTTTGTTCTTCACTGTTATTCTCATCTTCTAAGTTTAAATAGTTTGTCTTTTCAAAAGATGATTTCATATTTGTATTAGGGATAGTAAAAGCAGGCAATATCTTGAATAATGTAGATGTTACGACAGTGCTATAATCTAAAGAAAATAAATTATTGAATGTCAATGTAGTTCCAGATTCGACATTATCTGCGATAATATTGATAATTGAATGAGTCTTTGATACATTATCAGATAAGGTTTCAGATATGTTAAAATTACTGTTTGAAATCTTTTGAAATCAATATCTGTTGCCTTTATCATCATTTTACTAGAATCAGAAAATCTAACAAGTTCTGATATAAGATAAGTATTTCTGCTTTAATGTTAATTTCTGATGTGTCTAAGTGTTTAAATTTTACAGACTGAGAAGGATAAAGAATGATCATCTCTATTTTAGTATTAAATGACCCAGTAATTGAATTATATTCTATGCTTTCTGCTCTAAAATAGATAAAATCTTTAGTTCTCTTTGGACTATAATTTATGTTAGCAGAAATCATGCAGTGAGAATTGCATATAGGAATACTAGTTATATCAAATTCATATTCAGGTCTTCCATTATCAATAATGTTGGCATATGCAATATTCATATATACTTCATAATTTTCAACTATGTATTTGCCTAAAATAAATATGATATCTTTAGAATTGAACAATTAAGGCAATACATCTGAAGAAAAATATATTTCCACTTGATTATGTGTGATGTCTGTTGGGAAAGTTTGTATTTAGCAAATCTATAGGAGCATGATTAATTATTTTTAACAGAGGTAATAATGACAAGAAGGGTGATATGCAATAGCATTTTTCTTTTTTTTTCAGTATTTGGAAATTTGCTGTATTATAAATACATGAGCAAAAAAAAAATTTTTTTTTGTAATAATCAGATCAAATCTGTATATAGAAATGCCTATTTTTTGTTTGACTTATATCAATATAATCTATTTGAATCTTTAATATTTATTTACTAATTAATATGATTTCTATTGTTTAAGGATATTGTTAGAATGTTACTGTTTTTTTACAATCAAAATTTTTGTTATTGTAGAAAGTCTGTTTTAAATGAACTTTCTAATATGACTAATAATTGATTGCATTAAAACTTCTCGATTTTGCAAAAATTTAATACTATGACAATATTTTATTTGTGTTTATATTATTATCAAACAAGATCTTGTATTTTAAATATTATTACTAATTTTCTCTAAAGATGTAGCATGAGATTTACCTTTAAATCAATATTTATAAAAAAATTTTTGTTCCTTTTTAAAGTCAGTTACCATTATCATTATTGCATAAGATAATATATGAAATTTATCATTATATTGATTAAAAAAACAATTTATTAAATTATAAAATTATATCCCTTAATCTATAAACTTTTCTAGACAAATTTGCCTAGAAAATTAGTAAAAATATACTTATGATCTATATTTTTAAAATTTTAAAATACTTAAATAAAATTTTATTTGATAATATTTGAAAGTAAGAATTATATTATAGCAGTATTTAATTTTATATTATAAGAAAAAAAATATATGTTACTTATAAGCTAAAAATAGA